TGACACACAGTGGTTGAGCATCCACCCACTCACCAATCACATGGATAGCACAGCTTCCTAGGAACAAGAGTTCTTTCACAGGCTCTTGGCTGTTTGCAGGGAAGTGCAGAGTTTCTGCCTTACAGCCTGTCAACGCAGTGACCAGAGATCACAGGGAACCGGTTGTCAATGCCATGAGAAAACAGTGATTTTGCTAACAGCTATAGCCCCTAGCAATAATTGCATGCTAACAATATGACATGCTGGTTGCACCCAAGTCGAACAACAATGAAATTGGGTTCAATCAGCCTGCCCATAGATGGTTAGAATCTTGTCTGAATCCCTGCTGAACCAGCCGAGATTTGAACCATCTATGGCTGGCTTAATGCAACACTTTACAAAGTGCATTAAACCATTTAAATTTAGCTATGGGTTTTCTAATCTACACTTCTACCACACTTAAGCCGTCTATAGATGATTTAAATCTTGGACGTTCAGGAGGAACCACTAGGATTTGAACCATCTATGAGCAGGATGACAACCCAATGTGATTGTTGTATGACTTGGGTACAACCAGCATATCATATTTTTACATGTGATTATTGCCAGTGGCCATAGCCACCAGCAATAAGCACTTGTTCTCCCAACAAGGACAGCTCCCCAGGCCCCTCCCCCCTCGCCATGAGAACACAATAGCTCCATGGGAGGGAGTCCCCCATCAAACTGACTCGGGAATTGAGAGATTTTTCTTTCCTGCAACCCGTGAAAATGGTAGAAGAGGGTGAAAAAGTTGTCTACAATGGTTAAATATATTTAGAAATGTTAGAAGAAGGTGAAAGAGTTATCTACAACAGTTAACTATATTTATAAATACTTTGGTTTTTTTTTTGTTGATGATCATGCCAAGAGACAAGAAAACTTCAGGGCTCAGGATGACCAGGAGAGGGTGCACTAAACCTTGTTATTTTTTCTTTATGAAAAAAATCACATACAAAGTCCTTCTCTATAACAAGCGAATATTTAAACACTTTTTGACCATGCCGCTACTGGAAAATTTAGTTTGGTTACCATAGACAGTATCAGTTTGCAACTGTACCACTGTTGTTGTCCTAGGTAATTGTGTCTGCCACCTTGGAAGGCATTACATTTTTTAAGGGATTATTATGGGTGTGCCAACCCTCCGTGAGGAGTCTTTAGAAATTTTGGCAATACCCAAATATGTGAAACCTATTCTTCTGGGTCTACTTTGGTTGCTAACCATAGTCCTGATCAGGGACAGACTGACAACTCATGGGGCCCCGGGGCAATAGGGCATCATGGGGCCCCTGTGTCCTTGCCCAAATTCCAAAAAGCCTATGAAAAAAAAAGGTACCAGGGGCATCTCATGGGGCCCCCTACTGACCACGGGCCCTCGGGGAGTGCCCGAGTTTCCAAATGGTCAGTCCGCCCCTGGTCCTGATATTGACTGAGTTTGGAATTACATATGGAAATCCACTTCTCTTTGTTAAAGTATTCAGGGTATCTCTTCTCTTTTCCCATTATGTTAAATGACAATTCAAAAGTGCCTACTATGCCTGAGGTATTTTGGTAGCATTTCACAGCCTTTATGCCCATAGTTCAGAATTGAAGTGCCTACCATATTTGTGAATTTAGTATTCTGTGGATGTAATTTATAGTATTTTTCTAACACAAAGCCTTCTCGTGTAACAAACCCATCTCATTGCCTTAAGCTGGACATACACTGTTAGTTTTTTTCTTTTATTTTCATTCAGCAAACTCCCTGAACAAAAATAAACTAACAGATTAATCCATCAACAAACGAGATGGATGAAGGAATTCCCCCTGCAGAGACATTGAATTCTGACAGTGGCTCTCGCTGCTGATCAGCAGCTGCAGTCGATTGGCCACACCTGCTGATCAACAAAAGTTTTTCAGCATGCCCCTTTGACAGAATTCAATTGACTTTTGTAGAGCAGGCACAACCACGCTGATTCGATAAGGGATCAATCGGTGTATGGTTAGCTTTACTAAAACATAAATAGAAATTATTTTCTTTAGTATTGTAGAGGAATGCTAAAACCCTTGTCAGATTTTGATTCCTGTCTGTATATTCACCCTAAGTTGCTGTCTTGTGCAACCAACAGGACAGGAATTGAGGGTGAGGTTCTAATTCTCCCCCTCTCTATCCAAAGCTAAAAAAAAAACATACAATTTACAGCACAGATATTGTGAAATAAAAATAGAAAAACTAATGGAGCAGTATTCCACACTATAGGCTCAATTTACAAAGCTAACACACCAGGATAGGGATACTTATTTTTAAAAAAAGCAACATTTGTTAGCTGAGCCCAATGAGATTTGAAAATTACAGTCACTTGCCTATACAAAAATTCCTTATCCTTGTACCTAAGCTTTGTCAATCGAGCCTCATGTTTATAAAAATATCAATGCAATAAAAGGGATCTTATAAAGATAGCACACATCCAGATGTGTGATTTCACTGCACACTCTACAGTAGGCATTGTTGATCGCATTTTACATTGTAGGACTTCATGTTCTTAAATGTATCTTGTCACCAAGGATTCCACAAGATCATTGGACTAATAACATACACACATATCAGAAAATCACTATTTGACCAGATGTGGAAGATTTTGTTAAGACCTGTGCCATCTGCACACAGATCTAGATTTCTCAGCAGGCTCTTTACATATAGCTCCTGGCTTTGGTTTCTGACCATCTGTGGTCCAATATCACTGTGGACTCTGCTGGGTTAGGAGAGAACAGTTTATTTTTTTCTAAAGTAGAGCCTTGTGTCACTGGTTGGAAATCAAGTTGAATTTTTCAGCTGCATATTTTCCATTCAGTTCAAAGGGAAAACAGACCAGTTTATTGAAAAACTGGGGAAAATAACTTGGCTGATCTTGCCAAAGCTAATCTAACTAATAAAAATGATATCACGGAATCTGGAGTGTTGTTTTTTTTTTTGGGTTTTTTTTTTAATTTTTTTTTTATAAAACCTCTTAAATTCTTCATTCTTAATCTTGTGCAGGTTCAGGTTTCTTTTCTTGTGTTGAAATTTCAATAAAATAAGATTGTTAATTCTAAAGTTTGTATGATTAAACTTTTGTAGTTAGAGTGTATGCTGGGTAGTGAAATATGCATGTTCCACATATGTTTCATCAATGATTTTTTTTTAGAAGCTTTTTTTGAAGCCATCTTCTGGAAAGGGACTATAAGGAGCTACTGTAAGGAAATGGTAGTTCCCCACTCCCAATGGATAGCTTCATCAAAAGTGAGTGTACACCTGCGCCATCTGCTGGTTCAAAATGTATTCAGTACTGCAGAACAAGTGCACTCAGGTTGCAGGGGTATAACGTAGCCTATTCAAATTCTTGATGAAGATTCTTCTGCAAACCAAATGATTTTTAGAATCTTCTTAGTGATTTGTAGTAAATAATGGGCACAGACTGAGAAGAATAAAATATTTGCAAACAATAAATACGTTTTAAACCAAGTTCTTACTGACCTTTGTTGCTGAAGGCACTAGGGAATAATTCATCCTAAAAATGTACAGTACAGACACCGTGTAGTAATTAATTCACAAAGTTTACAGCACAATCACTTTTTTTCTCCCAACAGATTAGTTTTTTTGCTTCCCCTTTCATCAGTGATGTGGGAGCCTTCTAATGTGTAATGCAGCTTTTCTTGAGTTTTTAATGACTTTTTAAATAACTTTTTTGTCTCATGGAGCCTTTGTAATTAATCACCATTTCTACAGAGGACATTAGCTAAAACAGTAGGTTGTGGACATAAAAATAAGTAAAATAGTAAAGAAGGTGGCATATGTGATATCCATGATTGCTCTATACAGCAAAATTATTTTTATTAATAATAATGAAATAAAACAAATATTAATACATAGAAGAAAAGTGTAGTGCTGAGAAGCACCTTTTACAAAGGTGGTGATTGGGAAGAGTGCTTCTTACTTTGGTAGTGAGAGTAAGAATGTTTCTTACATTGGTAGTGAGTGAGAAGAATGCTTCTTACATTATCTGTGAATGGTAAGTATACTTCTTATATATGGTCAGTGAGAAGAATACCCTCTTACAGGAAGGTGAAAAGATAATTGTCTAATTGTTCCAGTAACCCTCAGTAAACTCTGGGGGAACATTGGTTGAGAAGGACTGCTCTAATATAAACACAGAGAAAAGTAGAATCTCATTTTGGATGACTTCACTGTTTCTTTTATTCATTTTGAAGATGAATTGCTCTGCAATGCAATACAGAGGTCAGTGATGGCTTTTTTTATGCTATTTACTGCTTGTTATGAATATGTAGCCTGGACACAGATTCATTTTAACACTGCCTTAATCAGGGGCGGACTGACAACTCATGGGGGCCCCCGGGCAGTAGGGGATCATGGGGCCCCTGTGTCCTTGCCCAAACTCACAAAAGCCTATGAAAAATGTACCAGGGGCATCTCATGGGGCCTCCTACTGACCCCGGACCCTTGAGCAGTGCCTGAGTTTCCAAATGGTCAGTCCACCCCGGCCTTAATCAAGCTTCTGGTGACATGGAAGATAACCACCTAAAACAATGGCAGTTTCACAAAGTCACCTCTGTGAAAACAAAGCAGTCTCACATATCTGTCTCTAAAAACCAAGCACCCTTGAAGCAGTCTTTCTGAAAAACGTATTACCTTTGCTACAGTCTGACACAACAGTTTCTGGTAATGCAGAAATAGTGTTTGACAAATATATTTAACATTCCAAGTTCGTATTACAGGAGCTGATAATAGAGCTTAATTTTTTTAAAATCAATGTGCTGAGGTTTTTTTTTTATGTGTATGTCACACTCTCACTTGTGGTAGTCATTAAAGTATATTGTGTAGGTAAAAGGACTGTGTCTTATATATGCTGTGCTGTGTATAGGGGGAACAGGCCTAAGTTTTATCAAACCATGTCCCTTTAATCCCCTGCCACTGCAGAATCTGGTCACCAGGGGCAGACTGACAACTCATGGGGCCCCCGGGCAATAGGGGTTCATGGGGCCCCTGTGTCCTTGCCCAAACTCAAAAAAGCCTATGAGAAAGGTACCAGGGGCATCTCATGGGGCCATCTACTGACCCCGGGCCCTCGGGCAGTGCCCGACTTTCCAAATGGTCAGCCTGTTTTCTTATAAAATTTAGCAAATAAATAGTATTTTATCATACATATTGGCCAAAATGTATTCCGTTATCTTTTTAATAAAAAAAAAGATAACCCAAATTAGTTTTATAACCAAAAATTAGAATTTTTAAACATTTTTTTATATTATTATTTATGTTTTTTTTTACCTACTGTCACCCTAGCAGCGCAGTGTCACCATCATGACACTATACTACTTGTGGAGGGTGATGAAGATTTTTTTTTTTTTTTTACACTGATTGCTTTTACGCCCATAAAAGCTGTAAAAGCAATCATTTCTCCTTCTCTCTAGCTGCATTCTTGCCATTGAGAGCTACTGAGTGAGCTGTGATTGGTCACAGCTTGCCACATGGTACAAGGCTGTTGTGAATAGCCTTTTACCATGTAACCTCTGTGATCATTCACAGATTTCACACGTAGTAAGCAACGATGTCACAAGTGACATCTTGCTTACTACTCTGCATGTGATCACTGATTGGCAAATCAGTGATCACATGATCGGGACCTCGCACAGAGGTCCCATTCGACGATCGGTGTTCCACTGTGGAGGAGGACACAGCGGGCACCGGATCGTGGTGCTGCGCGCTCCCCAGGGAGCGCGCACAAGCAGGGGGCGGGGAGGCTGTTTATAAATGGCCACCCAACTCTGCACTGCCACCGTCCGGCAGTTTATATATACAACAGCTGGACAGGAAGTGGTTAAAGTGTCGCGATGTCAGAGCCCCTCCCCTACACGTTACGCCACTGGGTGACATGGCTTCATCAGCAGTCTTGTATGGCATTCTCTCCTGAGAAATACCAATTTTCTTATTGCATATCCCGGCTAACACAACAAGCACCGTAACATAGATTTCTCACCTGAGATTGACAAGAAGAGCGTCAGCTGATCATCTTAGGAATTTTCCTGCTTTCTCTTATTCTTAAGTGAATAATATTCATTATGTTAGAATGATTTGCTTTCAAAATTCATTTTGTATATTCGGTTTGTTTTGTTTTGTATATTTGTTATTTTCAAATTAATTCAAAATTTGAAAATCGAATTTCAAATCGATTCGAAATTTAAGTAAATTCAAAATTCAAATTTCAAAAGAGCTATATTCCTTCTATTCTATCTATTCCTTTCTATTTTATTCTATTCTGCTATATTCTATTCTTTTTTATTCTATCTATTATATTCTATGCTATTCTATTATTTTGTTTCCTATTCTATTCTGTTTTATTCTATTCCATTCTCTTGTATTCAATTTGTTTCCATTATATTCTTTTCCTTTATATTCTATTCAATTGTATTCTATTCTATGTTTTTCTTTTCTTTTCTATTTTATTTTATTTCAATTTATAAAGTGGCCTAAGTAGGAATCATCATCTTGTTTCACTTTTATGCCTTACTGTATTTATTGCAATATGTTTCAATTTTGAATTCAAATTAAGTTAAAAATGATCATCCAAATTTCCAAATAATGAGCATTTTGTACGAATTTCGATTTGTAATGAAACAAATCACACATATCTAATGATGGACAAAGGATCTGAATCCAGTGCCATCCACCCTTTTAAAGTTTCACACATGGCAGTCTCCGGTGACATAGACTTACATACAGGGGCGGACTGACAACTCATGGGGCCCCCGGGCAATAGGGGATCATGGGGCTCCTGTGTCCTTGCCCAAAATAAAAAAAGCCTATGAAAAAGGTACCAGGGGCATCTCATGGGGCCCCCTACTGACCCCAGGCCCTCGGGCAGTGCCCAAGTTTCCAAATGGTCAGTCCGCCCCTGCTTACATAACAGTCTGCCAGATAACATAAAATTCTTACACGATTATCTCTCTGGTAGTTTAGCAGTTTTTTAATACAATATTAATATATTTAACATACTGCAATTACATACAGTTATGAGTAATGAGCACGAGTAAAACACTAAGACACTTTTACTACAGCATCTTGCAAACATTCACTGAATTAATCTGCTATGTCTCTCTTGGAAACACAACTGTTTCCTCTTAGTGATGGACAATAAACTTTTATCTAGCAGTTTTCGTAAACTAGCAGTTAGGCAGCTTTTGTTCATATGTGCTTGCTTCCTACCAGGAAGGTCCGAGAATTGTTAAGTCAGCTCATTTTGAGGCAGGTCATTTTCAGTTAGGAAATGAATCATGGCAAGGTTATACTCATCATTATGTGGCATGTGACGTGACCTTATTCACATTCATTTCATAGAAGTCAGCTAATTGAGAGAGTAATATTTCCTGAAATACTATAAGATAATACACTCACATGCAGTGTTTTTACTGAAAAAGACGTGCTTGCAGAATAACAGGACCAAAGGTGGAAGCATTTCCATGTTGTTCAATGCAGTAACTCCACAGTAATTTCTATGCACTTATTCCACAGCAGGGGCGGACTGACCATTTGGAAACACGGGCACTGCCCGAGGGCCCGGGGTCAGTAGGGGGCCCCATGAGATGCCCCTGGTACCTTTTTCATAGGCTTTTTTGAGTTTGGGCAAGGACACAGGGGCCCCATGATCCCCTATTGCCTGGGGGCCCCATGATTTGTCAGGACGCCCCTGTTCCACAGAACATAAATGTCAACTGCATTTTTTTAGCTAACCAGGACACAGATTCATGATTTTTAGATAGAGCTAGGTGTTGGAGGAGAGCCCTTTATCAAAAACCCATCAGCTTCCGTGAATTCATTTTTGGGCTGTACATGTTTGACTTTTTTCTAGTGAGCACTGGATTCTCCATTGAATTAATCTGAAATGGCAGACATGTAAGTTAACCACATAATGTCAGGGATAAACAGGTTATGCCATGGTTCCTTCAACTCTGTTGTCAAGGAGAAGAAAACTGTGAAATTGGTTTTAAATTCTGCTAACTAAGGAGGCAGGATTTTGTCATATTGGTCAGGGACATTACATGTGAGAACACTGAACCCACCAAAGCTAGAAGAATGGTACCAGTAATATGGCGGAGCAATCAGTATTGAGGAATAAACTTCCCTTTCATTGACAGCTCCTCCTTAAATAAGTAAATTCTCTTCCATAGCACACAATGGTTGTATCAGAATTGGCAGATAATAAGGCAGTTATTAATAAAGCTGTTTCTACAGGTGCTACTAAAACTATCTTTTCTTTAAGAGACCAGTCTGGATTTCATATTTCAGTTTTTTGATAGATGCTCCAGTGTAAAATCAGTTTCTTACATCTCTCAGGAGCTCTAGTGTTAAGATCTCTGCACTTGGATTCCCAGTTCTGCCATGGCCATTGCCATACAGGTCCTAATTTCCCTGCCGGAATTTTAATTAATTTTGTGTTATGCAAATGTGACAGAGTGATATACATAATTGGGTGAGGAAACCCAAAACTTCAACAAACGCATTAGGACCATGACAGGGATATCTCACTGCTGGAGTCTGCAAAAGAAGACTCTAAACTCCAGGAAGAGCACCAGGACTATGACAGGAATATATCACCACTGGGGTCTGAAAGAAAACAGCCCACACTCCAGGAAAGCACCTAGGCTATTACACGGATATCTAAAAACTGTAATTTCCAAGAGAACACCCAAAACTGCAAGACAGCACTAGCTTAATGACAGTGATATCTTGCCACTGGAGCCTCGAGACCCGAAACACCCAAAACTCCAGAAAGAGAATTAGGACTATGACAAAGATAACTCATCCCAAGAAAGCATCAAAAACTTCAGGAACATCATTAGGACAATGACACAGGTATCTCTTCTCTGAAGTCTCTAACAGAATGCTAAAAACTCCAGGAATAGCACCAGGATTAATATAGAGATATCTCACCACTAGATTCTACAAGAGAACAAGCAAAACTCCAAGGACAACACCATGACTATAACATAGATACAGTATATTGCTGCTGGAGTCTCTAATGGAGCAGCAACTAGCACTATGTCATAGATATCTTACCATTCTGGATTACTGAAGCATTTCTATTGGCTATTAATGCTGCCCATCATAACTATGGATCAATAGGAATGTGCAGGGGCTTAGTGGTAAACTTAAAAAAGTACCCAGATTGACATAGATTTCCCTGTCAGAGCAGCCTAGCAATTTCTGGGGGGGGGGGGTGTTGTTGTAGGTAAGTGCAGGTAACCTAGGTGTCTGTGTCTGCACTAAATATCTGAAGCAGCCAACTCCCTCACTGTCTCCTAGTGACAGACAGACAGAATGTTCATTTTAGCCATGTAACTGTGTAGGAAATACTATGATGCTGTTGCAGGGCTACATATAGTAAGACTGACAGTAAGTAAGTTAGGTACTGGTGGGAGAGTTCTGTGACTGAGATGCATCACCTTTTCTGATCTAGGACCCACCTACTAGAAATGATGTAGCCAGGAAGCCATTATACATGTGTTTCTCTCTTGGAGGGAGTGCTTATGAAGGTGGTAAGGTTTTCCTTTAGAGGAATGCCAGGACTTTTGATAACTCACTGCCAGGATGCAAGTCTCACTCCCCTAGAGACCCCTTTCTATGTGTTATTAATGATGCTTGCTAATTGTTCAAGTGTGATGTCACACTGCCTTGTATAGCTGTTTGTACATATGACCTTCATCAGTGAAGTCTGCTTGTTGCATTGAAAGAGCCTGGTGTAAAATACTATCCTGTGCCATAAGGCTACTACACTTGATATTGGATTTATGCTAAGAATCCCAGTGGGGCCAACAGTATGGAGGAGGCAGAAAGGGCTTGTAATACTCCTGCTAGGCAAGGTTGGGATACCCCCAGGATTCCTTAAGGAGCGTAGTCATTGTGTTTGGATCAGTCCACGGTGGAAACCTCAAGGGTCTCCATGCTAAAAGGGCTACCAGTTGCAACATTTGTGCCTGAGATACAATAAAATGTTAAATGGCAACTGCCTTGTGCAGACCACTACACAGCATTTCTTCTATACTTTTTTATTAAAGTCAAACTCCAGGAAAAAAATATATTTTTAAAATCTACAATTGACCAGCTTGGTTACCTGTATTTATCGATATGTCACATCTGGAGGACTGCAAGAGAGTTTCAAAGTTAACGTTGCAGTCTGTACCACATACACTGAAGAGTGGCTCGCTTGTCAGCACCTCCATTCAGAAAACGTGTTGTATTCTTTTCAGTAAATACATAGCTTTCTCTTATTGGACAAGGGTAGATTGTGATGTCATTGGCCCATCACCTCTTTATTTTCCAGTCAAAAATATCTTGCGCTCATTGAAATGACTACAATGTTTTTCCTGAACGGTGGAGGTCATGAGCAAGAAACCCTCGATCTTCAGAGGGAAGGACTCTCCAGCACCAGCAAAACAGGAAAGCCCCTGATTGCATACACTTCTACAGAGATTTTTGAGACTCTCCTGCAGCCCTCTGTTTGTGACACATTGATAGTTACAGATTCAGCATGACAGCTGTGTTCAGTAATGGCAGCCTACACATTTCTTGCAGCACAGGTTTCCTTTAAATGTACAATCTCTGTTTATTGCCATTTATTATTCTGCTAGCAGGTGTCTGTTGTTTGTGAGAACTTTCAACAGAAGTAATTCAGTGCTGCCAGCTTCTAGGATGGCAGTTATAAAAACAGCAGTTGAATGGTATGGGAAGCTGAGTGCTTGTTTGTTCACTGCTTTTGTTCTGATTCAGGATGTGTGTGTTAGAACACGAAGAGTGCAATGAATGCAAAAAAGAGTGCTAAATTACCAGCAATGACCTTAGTCAGTCACATCCTCAGGCTATTTATATAACTTGGAAGTGCGTTTAAAATGACTTTGCTGTTTATTTTAAGGACAGGAAGAGTGAATCCACTAATACAACCAAGATAAAAATGATTGAAAGTGTCAAACATTTATATTTAGGTATTTTCTTTTAATTTAAAACATATATGGGAATATTATTTAAATGTATTTCACTACAAATTATAAAATTTGCTTTTTTTAAAAAAAAAAAATCAAGGACTCGTTTTTTTTTTTTTAAACATGGTTTACTATGTGATCATCATTCAATGATGTTAATGAAATTAGTTGTAGGTGGAAAGAAAATAAAACTATTGTCTGTAACAAATTTTCCAAACAGATCCATTGTATTTTACTTGTCATGTATAATGCACAAACATCTGCTCTGGTTTCTATGGAAATAAATCATTGTTCAAGGTTTTATGCTGACGTTCTTGTGCCAGTGTGTTGTCGAATTCTTCTTTCTCGATAAGGATTGTGCCGTCATTTGGCTCTAAGCCTTCACATTATGTCTATATACAGTTTTGCATGTCCATCCATGTACTGGATTATGCTTCTATCCATGTGGGGTTACTGATATTTAACATATTACTGAGATTTGCGCTTGAAGTACAGTTTATAAAAATATGGGGTTTTTTTTGTGAAGCATGAGCATTAATTATACTATTATCAGTAATAGGAGCTGTTTCAAACAAATCTTAGCAACTAATTAGATTCATTAGTTCACTTTGAAATTATAGCTGAAAAATTAGAGTTTGAATCTAACTGGTTAATGTGAGTTTCATTTTGTTCCATAGAAACTTTTATTTTAAATATAAACTAATCCCAGTATACAAGTATTATAAAGCCTGTTTGTCCCTGCACTAGGTTCACACCACATTTTGTTTAGGAAAAGAGCACTATTAGTTTCAGTGAGTACTATATCATTTGTGCAGACCACAGAAATGTCCAAATTTGTTTTGGGATTGTTGGCATTCCGGGAGAACTGGCACTATGTAGAAGCACTGGAACCCAGCGCTTCACCAAAACAAAGATTACGTACCCCCCCT